GCTTCCAGCGTTTTACGGAAATCGGTCAGATTTTTCATAATAAATATATTTTCAACAAAAATTAAATAAAACACTTTCCAAATTGAACTCTGGCGAATATCCCGTCCAAATGACTCGGAAACCGATGCAGGAAAGAGGACTTAAAGGAGTTAAAAATCCAAAAACTCCCCTGGGGCAGACTGCCACTGGACCGCCCTAGAAGCTTGCGCCTTCGGCGCTCGTTTAGGAAATCAGTCAGTATTTATCCTAGATCCGCGCCTGTGCATCATGCAATTTTCAGTAGCTTTGAAGTAAGGGGCCACATGAACGTAAAGTCCTTTGGCGACGATCGCCTTCCAGGTCCTTATAGCTTTCAATACTTTTTGAGGTTTCAAAGGCTAATTTAAAGATTAACTTTCAATACCTTGCTCCATTTGTGCCCTCTTTCTTTCGTCCGGTCTAAACATGGTAAAGCCGACATTTCTACGAGCACAAATAAAACGAATTTTTTAAAGTTTTTCGCAAGCCTAACTTATATCTGGCATCTGAGGACAGGCAGACAGCTGAATTTTCTAAATAATCGGTGTTTGGCTGTCTAATTTTCTTCGCTTTCGGGTAGGTTATGCGAAAAAGGGTAGCGATTGGGGGAAGAAGACAAGGAACATGGACGTTTGTATTTGTGTAATCACCGAAACGAGAAAATTTCGACTGCCATACACGGAGAGGCATTTTGAAATTCGGATCTTAGTCACAGGGAGAACAGGAAGAAAGGTTTCTCAGATACAAATATCATCAGCCCGGGCTTGAATTAAGCTTAATACCTTTGCTTTCTGGATGAAGTTTCGTCATTTGTTTGTTGCCCAGTTTGATCCAGTTCCTTCGACATTTCGCTTCCATCGTTGTACGACTCATGGCCTCCTGATCTCATTCCTTGCCCTCGGATATCAGCTCCATGCGAATTTCTGTATGTTCTAGAATAACTCATAGCAAACTGGAACTTTAATTTATATCTGTTTCTCCTATCTCTTTTTGAAAGCTGAATCTTGAAGAGCAAGAAGCAAAAATTTGAGAAACTTTCGGATTTTCCGAGAAAATGTGATAAACAACTACACCTTTCGGGGAAATTCCCGCCATCCCCCGAAGCGAGCACCGGAAGCGGAAGCGGAAGCGACTCTGAAAATGGAAGCTGCTATCTCTGGACGGTAACTGTATAGAAGGTCGCTATCTTCAGCAAAAGCTAATCTAATTCAAGGTCCATGAGATTATAAAGATTTACTATAGGACTGTTTTGGGGGACGAATTTTACCAGTTTCTTGGGTAACTTCGTAGTAACCAACGAAGGAGGTGAGAACGAGACGGTGAGGCCGGCCGGCATGTCCGAGTTCAAAAAGCTCTCACTTTCAAAACGAGGCTAAGTGTAAAACCTCTCTTATGAAAGTGAGGTTTTGCATGGGACCAAAAAATGATTGTCATATCAATAGCCTCGCATCTAGCCTCACTTTGAAACAAAGCCTTGGGGGAACTCGGCGATGGCCTATTGTCAAAACATGTTTAATCACCTTAGGTTGTGAGCTCAGACATCCCCTCCCCTAGCACAAAAGGCTGATTTAGCAACAGAACTAACCTGCGATCAGGCTTTTTTTTTTTTTTCAAGAAGGGATAATAGGGAGAGGGCGTGATCTCAGGCTACAACAGAACGGGAACGTCAGTTGATGACGGCGCTCGCAAATTAAACAACTAACCAATGGCAGAACGACAAATTGGGCACCGGAAGTCGTGTTTAGTCCTTTCCGAGCGCTTTCCCGTCGTCAATTGACGTTCCCATCCAGTTGCTACATCAGCCTAAAATTGGGGAGGGGGCGTCTGTAAGCAGGCTAAGCTTGGGTGAACATTTTTTTTACAAATCACTGTATTCTATCAACCTCATTTGATGACATTGTTCACTGGTATGAGGGAAAGGCCTAATTAAATATTTATTTGAGGAAAATAGTGAAACACTCTGAATAGTGATGTCAATCCTATCGTGATACGCAAAAGCACTGCTGCTGAAAAGAATTCATTACAATGGTCACAAAATTCGCTATTCTCAAATCCCCAAAATTCACTCGACTTGTTTCCTCACCCCCGCTCCATCCCCCCCCCGAATTTTGCATAAACTATTGTTTTCAAATACTCCTGGGAAGACTGTATATCCCAAGAGCAAAATTTGAAAACAATAGTTTATTTATGCAAAATGTGGCGGGCAAACAGAGTGTATTATGGGGGATTCGCTAACAGTAAATAGGATTTCAACCACAGAACTAAAAGTTTGACAACAGGTGTCTGCAAAAATAAGCAAACAATGATAAGATACACTAAACTGGATAAACAATCTTTAATCGTTTGCTCTTTCACTTCCAAATTTTTTTAACGTATCTTCTATAAATATAATACCGAATGACCGCTCCCAAATACTTCACTAGATACTCTATATATGAAGTAGTAGACAAGACCAATCACTAGATAAAACTGGAATATCATTTGCTGGTATATATTAGCTTCATTCAACGTCCGTGTTTGCGTATAGGCACGTTCGTCACGCGTATTGAACAGGGTTCGTTCTTCCGCAGCACTGGAAAACAGCTACCTCCTCCTGGAATAGCACATGACTAATGTACCACCCAGTCCAAGTTTTGGAGCTACTCGCCGTTATCGACAATGTAAACCTTAAACTGAGAACTGCAATTTACTTTTGCATTCGTCAACATAAACTGCGAGTCAACTGTCTATTTAAGATCTTAAACGCAGAAAACAAAGAGATCGCCATTTGTCTGTAGGAGCAACCTTATCTCTCTAACGTTAACGATAATATAATTGTTAACTCTCAAGAATGTTGAGTTTACTTGTTTTTCAACGGGTGACGTTTTACGGGCGTTCAATGCCCAATGATATTTCACTCTCATGATCTTGCAGCATGCCCGTAATTCTATTTGTTGGAGCAGAGTTTGCACCTATTCAAAGGGGGTTTTTCGCATTGGCGTTGCAAAGACCTTGTCTGCTATCCACTCATATTGTGGAAAACACCAGTGAAACTAAGTCCAGTCTCCCCATCCTTTTCCTAATAACAAATTGGACCCGTCATGTAGGCTTCTTCGCCATCCCGGCATAGATACCTTTCCCCAAAAGATATTGAACTAAATCTCGAATCATCGTAAAAGGTTGTTTCAAATTCACTTCAAAGCATGAACTTCCGCTTCGGATAAAGCAGTTTCATCATCATCGCCTCTGGTTCTGTTTGCATTCGCACTGTAACTGTCAATGGGTGTATCTTCCTCGCTGGAGCTCAATCCCGATCCCAAGTCATTATTTTCAATGCTATCCTCATCAAATTCATCTTCACTACCTGCTTTCTCCTCCCCAGTCTCTTCCTCATCCTCCAACTCACACTGAGTCAACCTGCCTGTAGTCGAGGCTAGTTCCCAAGCAAGGTTAGTCAAAGTCGCACGGTCAGCCTCGTCTTGGTCCGCTCGCAGCTCATCTTGAGTGACTCGGGAACAGAGCTGTTCTAAGAAGTCATCATCGCTGTCATCAGACCAGTGAAACACTGGTGGGTTTGGACTAAGCGTCAGCTCTGAAACAGTTGAAACGCGGTGCACCAGGCTGTAATCTTCGAAGCCATTTGGTGGCTGCGTCTTTAGGAAATCCACAATTCCGAAGTCGTGAATCTGAGCATCATACACGATGTCAGTTCCAACAGGCATGGCTATTGTGGAGGATTTAGAGTCAGGTCTGTCGCGGCTTTTCGCTGATAAAGTTGGCTCACGCAAAAGAGGAATAATAGGGCGGGGGCTTTGTGGACGTACTTCACTGCCACTGGTATTAACTTCCTCCGCGCCTCTTTGCTGACTGACCTCATTTTCCAGAAAACTCTCCTGTGGTTTCCACACATTACGTGCTAATAGTGTCTGGCTTAAATTATCGGGTTTAATTTGTGACGAGCTAATTGCAGACACCGTCTCACGAGATCGTCTTCCTGAGGGTGATCCGTCTTTTACGCCAGCGAGGAAAAACTCGGAGAGGCCAATATGGCTTGGCTGTGGACTCCATACTCTTGCCGATAATCCATCGCTCTGCTGCTTGATTTGGGAGTGTTTCGCTATGTGCTGTCCCGTTCGAGAATTAGCCCCTCTTACACCAAGCCTTGAAAAGGGCGACGTCTGTTCCGAGGAAGGGCTGACAGAAGATACAGGTGAAACATCTCGTAACACCAACGCATCGCTATCAGCTTCAAAATTTCCCCTGGGGGTCATGCACGTAATACTGACTCTCCCAGACCGTGACACAGGTCTACTTTGGGACTGGGGGTGAGGATGAGAATCTTGTTCGTCAACTATACAAGCAGTTGTTTCCTCTGCGCTTAATTCATCATCGGTGATCTCCTCAATCGCTATCACTCCTCTGGATGCAGCAACACTTGCCACTCCGTTTTCTCGCGCATTTTTCTTGTTTAATGCACCTAAACTCTGAAAAATCTCACGGTAGTTCGTGCCTAGTTGGTTTTCGACTTCAATTTCTCGCTGTGGGCTGCTGTCTGACTTTGGGTCTTTGCTATTGCCTTGAAAATCTTTCAAAGGAGTTTGCCGAGAGACGAAGTTTGGATTACTTTGGTGCTTTTTCAGCAACATACGGTCAAGATAGCTCAGAGACTTGTTGGGGCCAAAATTTAGTTTAATCTCCTGTGTTTTGGGAACCTCGGGCGTGGTGCTTGTTTCACACGAGGTGCCTGTAAATACAATGAAAGTATTAGGACCACAGCGTTCACCTGTATTAACTTGCGTGGCGGCCACTCGAAAAGGAGCCTGGGGAAAACTGAAAACTAATCGGACAAGCGAGAACGCAAAGGGTGCACGAGGGAAGGGGGGAGGGGAACATCGACGTCCTCTCTCTTTTGCGCATCTTTCGATTTCAAGCCCGATCTTAAATATCAATTAGAATAAAAATGAAAAAAAAATTCACGACTCTAGTCTATTCATAAAGACAAGAAACACAAACCAAAAAAGCAACTCAATTTTGATAAATTTACATAGTTAATTTAGATAACCTATAGGCGATAGACTGTAATGTTCAAATACCTCTGGGTACACTTGGGTTTGTCCACATCTTCTCTGTTTTACCAGCGCTTCTCCATTCCATGAGAGCCTGCGCAAAAGATTGTGCACTGGCTTCTTCATCATAAGAACCCTGCAGGAGGGATCCGCCTTGGCGTACTGAAGAATCACTCGACTACAAAAAAGGAATCAAGGTGGAAAGAAAAAGATGTAAAACTTGTAAACGACCTTCTCAAAGGCTGTTACACCACCTCTGAATTTGTACTGTTAATCTATAAACTCAGACAAATATCATTGGGACACTTTCTCAGTGTAGACAGTATAACCCCATCCCTCCATTACAGTAATGTTTAAAGGCGTACTTTTGCAAAGGACAAACGATTTTCACTTTTGTGCAGGGGAGATGGGACAAGAAGTGTCTCGCAAATTTGTCGAAGGTCGTGGGTGGATTTAAGTAAATTTGAATGTCCAGTTGCAGTATTACTAGGAAACAACTTGATGATTGACCTAACAAATTACTCGTGAAAGAACTACAAACTTTCTTTCATACCTGTGGAGATTTTGCTTGAGAGTGGCTGGTCACCCTGAAAAAAACATTAATAGTGAGACTGAGCTTTCAAGTCTTTATTTGCATCACATGAAAAAACAGTTGCATCAAAAAACTTTATTGACACAAACTGGTTACTAAAAAAGTTACCATCATACCTGGAGACTTGCTTTCGAGGTGATATTTCTTGTTTAGCATTCATGGAACTCTTGATTTCCTTTTCCTCAAGTTGTCCTGCCTCATACTATGAAACAAAAACATTTGACGTTAGTGGCAAAATCAGTAAAAGGTATCAAGTCTATAAACATACAAAGCTTTGCAACCTTCTACTCCAAGCACTATGAAACACAGTAAAGCACTGATACAAGCGCAGTTAATGATACAAGACACACCTGTTCAACTGTTTGGGTTGTGTGCTTCTTCAGTGCTCCCTTTTGATGAAAAGACATGAAGCAACTCACACAGTATTTTTCAGAACAATCCACACAGACCTGGAAACAACAAGATGCAACATTACTATAACTGTAAATATTGCCTAAAGGCTGGTTTTCAGTCTCAGAATCCTGTCAAGAACCCAGATGTTTTTCTCTGTTGATAGCTTGCGGCATTTACAGATGTCTCCCAATAACTTAGTCTAAGATTAGAAGATAGCCAACATTTTGTGACACCACTGGTTTTCCAACAAAATGATGTCTGGGAAACAAGTGCAGAAATTCCATATTGATGACGCGTCACTGGGTAGTGCTTCTGATTAAATGAAGCAAATTTCTAACAAATCAGGAGCACTGCCCTGCCCAGATCTACAACCTCGGACAAAACCTGTTGAGACACATAATACAAAAATACCTATTTTCTTCACTCAACCTGACAAAAATGCTTACCGTCGCAAATTAAAAGACCGTTTCCCCCCTCTCCTTTTGCAATGTTGTTTGCGATAACAAAAGAAATGCACACTTGAGCTGTTAGGCCAAAACAACATTGCACAAGGGGTGGAGAGGGGGGCAAATTTGTTCCTTTTGGACACGAAGATTGCATGGCGCGAAATTGAAAATTGCCTTGAAATGTCTCAATAGTTTTGTCTGGGGTTGTAGGTAGTGACGCGCCATCAGTATGGAGTTTCTGTGCTCGTTTCTCAGACTTTATTTGGTGGGGAAACCATTATTGGTGCCACAAAATGTTGGTTTTAGCCACCATGCATATTGGAATAATGATGTATTTACTGAGATTCACAATGCAGATCTTGAGTTGGTTTTTAACAAATTAATGCTCAGTGATGTGGAAAAAAACCAAACAAACACACAACAAAAAAACAACAACAACCCTTTAAGTGCATGTAAACAGAGTAGAAATACAATGTAACCCTACCAGAGTAGCTTTTGTCCTCTCACACTGACCACATCCTAAAGCACCAAGATTGTCCACTTGCTGAGCTCTGGGTGTTGCTTTCTTTTTGTAACTCTCTGCAAAAGTATGGACTCTTCAATCAACTTAACGCTACAGGTCCCAATATCAAGTAACATACAAATTATCCACTCTGATCTCCATACATTTCCTTGAAAAACTAGTCGAGAAAATTTGTTTTAAGATCAAAGCAAGTTCACTTTAGTGATGATTTTATTAATTCTTACAACCCAGCCTTGATCATGTACATGTATTTGATATAGTTAGGAGAAACTTGATGTTGGTCACTCTTGGGTCTAAAAAGGTCAACACATAGATTTCACTTCACTGTATACAGTGATTTTGTTACCTCTGCGTCCTGTGTTCCTGACACACAAAAATCCCCAAAGACGCAAAATAATTTGTGGTATGCATTCCGTAACTTGAAAGATCATTTGATCAATCTGAAGTATCCTGTTTGTGTGATTTCTGTGGCTGTTCTTGTAGCTGTTGCTTAATGGTGCATATTTCTTTTAGTCTTTGTTGTGCTTGATAAAAGAAGGGGTATATTTTTATTTTTTTTCAGTATTTTTATTTTTTTTGCAGTAACAGCGTGGTTACATGAAGACCCAGGGCTTTTGAATAGGGACTCAAAGGTTCTGGACTAGGACTCACGATTTTTTTACAAGAATAGTCCCAGGACTCACCATAACCACTATTTGTAACAAAATCACTGTGTATACCCTTTACTGTTCAGTTTTAAATAACAAACTGACAGCAAACTGTGAAGAACAAGAAAGCGAACCACAAAACTCAACACTTCGCTAACCAATAATTGTAATTTTCTAACCACAACTATTCTTCACATAAGGACAACTGTGGGACACAAAAAGGAAATAATATTGTTTTGCTTTGTCTTTGTTTAATACTCACCTAAGGGTTCATCTCCAAGGACTTTAATTCTCCTCTGAGGCTGCAAAAACCAAGAAGCACTTACATGTAACTACACAACACATCCTTATTATAACTTGACCTTAAAAAATGCATTTTGTGTTTAATAAGATATTTAACAGAACTAGAAGATCAGGCAATGAAAAGCTCACACATGCCAAGCACACAAGCCTCACATGTCCGTAGCATCTCTCCTCAATCTTGCCCTCTGTTTTAGCCTTGCTCCAGAGCTTTTGTTTGACTGTTCACGAGCACTTAAATACGCAAAAATATCGACTGTTTTGCAGTCTATCTATATTAAATAAGAGCAAATAATATTTAGGTGAAAGGCAAAACATTGCACTCACTTTATCAGTTTTTTGGTTCTTTTTCTTGAGTACATCTTGTACATGGTTGTTGAGGGGACCAGATTTTCCTGACACCCACCTTGTTCCACCTAGCTTCCTGTCAACAGATTAATGTAAACACCGAAAAAATGATTTGTTACTCCAGTGAAATAAGAAGTCTTCACTCTGTGGAAATAGTGCTTTCCCATCCGCATCTCATTTTATTTTAATATCTTTGATAGTAGATATGGTGGAGAAACTGTTTTGGTTATCCAAAACAGTCCTTTCTCAACAACAACAATAACAACAAAAAAACATGAGATGATTCCACCAAACCAATGGTATCTACTGTAGGGTTCTTAATTGTCCCCTTTAAATTTGATAAGAAAGGAGGAAGGAGACAAGGACCGATATTAATGTCACCCAGGGCTTGAAAAAAACTTTAATTTATTATACCTTGTCCTTTGGGCAAGCAGCCCTCACATTTTTACTCACCTGGGGCCACTTCTTGCATGTCTTAGTTGATGATTTTGTTAGACGATGACTTGCTGGGACCCTTTCCCATTCAGGAAGGAAGCTTTAAAAGTTACTTGCCTAGCAAGAAAATCTACTTGTCCCAAAATGCCAGATGGACTTTTTTCAAGCCCTGTCACACCCCAAAAGACATATTCATTTGAACTGAACCCAGGTTCTAATCTCAGGTAGCATGATCTTATGGCGTTTTTCCTGACCTAGGATTGTGTTTTGGCGAGGTTTTAAACCCGGCATCACCTTCAGCTCATCGTACACTCTGCTATTCCCTTCCAAAAAATTAGGAGCTTGTTTGGGACAAGTTTACAAAATCATAAACCCTCTTCAGGACAGCAGAACAAAAAAAATATTGTCTTCAAATTTGTCCCTTTATTATATAAACACCAATGAAATACCAGGTGAGCTTTCGCGTGAAAACTTGATATCTTCACATGTGAAAATAACATGTTATCTTCACATGTGAAAATATCACCTTTGCTATGGCTACATAATAAATTGTGCCCTTCACACCAACAAACTATTAAAGTGAAATGGTTTGGTATTTCATTGATGTTTATATAATAAATAGAACATTACATAGCCGCTTGGAGATACAACATTTCTCTTCTCGTGTTGAAAAAATATTTCACGAGTGAGCGCATATTTTTCAACACTCGAACAGAAATTTCGTATCTCCACGTGGCCATGTAATATCCTCTATATGTTACACCCAAGGGACAGGGACATTCTTTGAATACTATGATGTTACAGATTCCAACAATTTGACACTTACTCTCGTTCTTCTTTCTCTTTGAACATTTGTTCTTTCAATGCACGAATCCTCTCCTCCATTTTCTTTGTTTCAACCTCCAGTTGCTGAGCAGTGTTGCTTTTAAGCTGTCTCACAGCCCTGTGTTGAAGCAAAAATATTAGTCACGATGGCAACAGCAACAACGTCACATCAAAACCTGGATTTAGATTTTGAAATCCTGATTTTTTATTTTGCAATCAAATGCTAAATCTGAAAAGGGGTTTTACCTCTGAGAATTCAGTCCTCAAGATGGATTGTGTAATTTTGCTTTCCTTCTTTATCATTTGATTGGAATGCAAAAAAGGATTTGCAAAACTGTTCTCATGAAATAGTCTTCTTTTTTTCTGCTAAGAATGTGTATGCATCTGCGAGAAAACCGTGCTTGTAAACATTTTTTTTTCAAATCCTTTCTCAGATTTCCCAAAAAGGAAAGAAAGAAAATCCAAAGACACATTTCTCAGCGTTGAAATCTGTTTTTCAGATTGTGCCTTCAATTGCAGACCCAAATTCTGGATTTCAAAATTTAATCCATATTTCCCTGTAATTCAACAATGTACGTTTCCTTGTCAACAAATTATGTTAGATTGCATGGATACTGTTGAAATCATATCTATACTAAATCTAAAGATATTACATTTCTTGCTATTTCGTCGGCAAATAAATCAAGAAATACAATACACTTTAAAATTAAATAGACTTTATTGAAAATATTCTTGAAATGTGTTTAAACAAAAAGGTGCTTTCACGTCAAATCCCAACCACAAGAAACTCGAGTTTCGATCAAGTGGACCTTCAAAAACGGTTATTTCGAGAAATGGCGGAGAAATAGAGAAAAGATTGTAGAAAAGTAGCAGAAGAAAAAAGAAAACAATGAAAAATAGTTGTAATCTTCTTATGTACACGTAGGCTTAAGCAATCATACATCGAGCTAACCTAAAAATCGAAATAAAAGTAAGATTGTATTTTATGAGAGTGTACGTGAGCTTAAACCAAGTCCAGAGCAAAAAAGATTGAAGTTCAAAGATCCTCATTTTTCCATTTAATGTTTCGATGTTGCAATGAGCTGGTCGAAATCATTTAAATTGAATCACTGGATTAAAGAAAATTGAGAAAGTGATTTATACAGCTTTAGTAGACCACTTACTTTTTCCTAGCCTTTATGTACGAGGCTTCGTAAGACATCCTTGAACTTAAGGTCATCCCAACCAACAAAAAAGAATCCAAAAAAATCTTTAGCCTCTAAATAATACTACAAAACCATAAACGGGAAAGCGAGGCACTTCTTTCATTTGCTCCTCGTTTTGAAAGTGTGTTGATGTATGTTTGGAGAAGACTGTCATGGCCGACTCTCATCACGTGACCAATGTGATGCTACCATGACAACAGTAAAAAAGGAAAAATGGCGGGAAAAGGTGTTTCCGGCAGGAAGGGAAGTGAAGGGGGAAAATGTCAAAAATAAGGAAAACAGGAAGAGAAAAAAGCAAAAAAACAAAAACAAAAAAATGGAATTTTAGGCCACCCTACTTACAGGTGCTCCCTCTGTTGCTTTTGTTGTTTTCATCTTTTTCTTTTTTTTTTCAAGTCACACAGAAGTTTAAAAGTGTGTTTTACATGTTAATCCACAAGTTACTTCATCTTTTTCTCTATTCTTCAAGTCGTGCAGAAGTTTGAACAACGCATATCTTACATGTTTTATATCCACAAAATACTAACAGGCCACCAGACTCTTTGGGATGTGTACGTGTGACCAACAAAATACGTCCTAACAAATTTCTGCATTGGTGTTTTTTCTTCTGTCTATCTGTGTTACCGTCTGTTTTTTTTATCCTCCTCCTCCTCCTCCTTCTTCTTCTTGTTAGTATTATAATGACTGTTCTCAAACAGACTTGTCTACCCAGGATAAGACAATAATATTATTATTCCCTCTTGCCCAAGATAAATTCAAGGACCATAAAACTCAGGAAAAACAGTACTTTTATTTTCAATTTATTAATACACGAAACTTAGTATGCATAGTTAAATAAAATCTAGTAGAGGGACATAATGCAGGTATTACACAGTGTCCTGACAGGAATACAAAATAAATACTATGACTTAGAAAGCTTCTTTTTGTTTAAGAATCTCGTCAAATCTATCAAGTTCTGCCATGGCTTCTGCAGCTTCTTCATCCTCTTCACTGGATTCCCTTAAAAATTAAACAAGAAAGAAATTAAATGTAAACAACAGTGCACCCAATGATATTATCATTGTCATTTATTTATTAGATATTTAGGAATGGATATGTAAATGCTTAAATCAAAGTCTTTCTCTATCAGTTTTACTTACGACATGTCAAGGAAGTCGTCTCTTTGTCGGCGACGTGAAATTTCTTCCTTCTACAAAAAGAACATATTTATCATATGAAATAGACTTGTACATTAAATTACCAGCAAAAATAAACAATATTACAAACAAAGTTTTAGAAAAACCAAGGGAGAGTGAGGGGGGTTTCAAACACACAAGAATTTCAAGTACTGTATTAGGCCTTTCCAACTCGTCCCTAAGGAGAGGACCTGAGGTTGAAGTATAGCTCCTTTATTTATATTTTAATATTTACCATGTAAGTATAACTTTCGATACTGAATATAAAGGACTACAGCCACCCAGCAGACAAATCACTATAGTATGCGGTGGATTTCTATAATTAAATTAAATTTTTTATGCTTATCAACTAGATAGTGATGTATCCAGTGGGTAGAAGTTTCAACCTTTTGAGTAACTGCTGTCAGATCTCTAACTAAGCCATATTACACCTTACTTTTAATCTCTCAGCTTTCCTTTGGGCTAATGTTTGTTGCACTTCTTCCCTATGTGATGTCTGAAAGTTAGAGAAAGAAAAAAAAGAAAAAAGAAATGTCATTTTATTAAGCTGATCTGGGTTATCGCTAGCCTGTGGGGAGCAGACACTTTTTTTGGCTGTTGTTTCACCTGTACTTTCTTGGCAGGTGAAACAATAGCCGAAAAAAAAAGCATCTGCTCCCCACAGACTAAAGAAATTTTCATCACAAGTTACAAAGAAAGGGAAAAACCTCTGCTTCTCTCCATCTGACCTAGCACAATAGTGAAACAACCTTTCTTGAGAAGACATCTCAATTAGGCAGATGGCTCAGGTGCAGGACACCCTGCAAACTAGTTTCGGCTCTATTCTCCAGAGAGAATACACTGGGTTCCAGCTGAAGTTATTTTTTTCTTGGGAGCATAATTTTTTCAAACTGTGAGCACGGTTTATTCACCTTAGGTATTTCTAGAACAGACCTCTGGACTGAGTCATGGGACAGAAAGAGATTATAATACAGTGTCCTCATGAGTACTTCTGTGCTAAATACTGTCAAGTTAAGTACGTTTTTTGGCAGGTGTGGCTTATAAACATCCTGTAACTCAAACCCTAGCTGTAATCCTAACTCCTTTATTTGCCTCGATCAACTCCTGTACCTGCATATTGAACCTCGCCTGCGAGCAAGCTTTCTGGGGCGCCCTGGGGGTGGGGCAGGAAAAGGAAGGAGAGCTTGCAGCTACGTCTCTGGAATTTGAATATCTGCTTCGAAAAAGTTGATGCGAAATGCTGATTGGCGGAGATGACATTAGTAATGATGTCATTACTTTGGCACTTGTTTTTCAATGTTTGTGTACTTTTGCGCTTGTTTTGGTACATTGTCGGAAATCTGACAGCTCAGTTGACAGGAAGCCTCAGGGGAATTGGAGGTGGAAATATTCAAATTCCAGAGACGTAGTTGAAAGCTCTACTTCCTTTTCCCGCCCCACCGCCAGAGCACCTTGGAAAGCTTACTCGCAGGCTAAATTGAACCCAGTGAAATTGTCTCCATCTCCTAGCAAAATGATTGGGCTGATTTAGCAACAGAATGGGAACATCAGTTGACGACAGCGGGCGCAAATCAAACAACTGGTTCGACCAATGGCACAGCGGCAAATTGGGCACAGAAAGTCGAGTTTAGTCCTTACCGCGCGCTTTCCCGTCGTCAAATGACGTTCCCGCTCTGTTGCTAAATCAGCCTAATATTTTGCTGAAACATTTAATCAACAAGTTTATCAATTTCAGAACTATTCATATCATTTAACTGACCATTTTCTGTATGTATTCTGCCTCCTCTCTCTCTTTCCTTTCCTTCGCATCTTCCAGATGTCTCTGAAGTCCTAAAAAATTTCCATCATTGACTACAGAACGACTAATTTGATCGGAAGGTGAGCTTACAAGTACTCTGAGAGAAGTGACGAAAAAAAGTATAAAGGATGTTCCTATTTTTACAAACAACTTACTTGGATTAGTTTCTTCTTCTGTCGAATCTAATTTAGTCCCAGTGGCATTATTTACCAGTAAAATATTTTCTGAAGGAAAAGAACGAATTTCTATCAGAGCAGTTTCATCAAAACATGCATGTATTAAAACAGCTGTCAGCCACAGCGATTCGAATGCTATTGAACGTTTAAGCTTAAATTTACAAACCGTTATGAATTGCAGACGCTGTTGGCAAGCGATGATTTATTCCACTGACAAATAATGTAGACTTTGGCGCTGGAGGAGGTTCTATTGACTTCCAAAAAGACTTGGCAAGCTCGATAGTTTCAGCTGAGCTGCCCGAAAATGTTACTTCGTTCGCCATCTTGTTTATGTCGTTTCCAGGGACTGACGTGTCACGGCGAGCTGTTGCACAGGATAACCAATCTTAACACTGACAAAAACGGGGCTCTTGCAGAATGCTAAAATGTCTGTAATGACAAGGTGTCAATGCTAACCAGGTGTCTGTAAAGTAGAGTTTTGACTCTGGCGGCGCGGGGGGTACTCGCTTATATAAGCCATATAGGTATGTCCCAAAGGGTAGGGTTTTTGCACTGCTTTGGTCCGAAAAAGGGTATAGATTTTGCCCATTTTGGTCTAGAAACGGGTATGATTTACGAGGGAACTACGATTGTGTATCAATGTGTTTGTCGTTTCAATTCCAAATGAATAAGAAAGAAATTGCAACATGCAAATTCGAAAATAATGGATGAATTTTAAGAAATCTTTTTGTTGCTATGATGGCACAATTTCTGTTTTATGTAAACAAGTAATGTTGTGTTTTGTGACCACCTCCAGGTCTGAAAGCGGGTATGGATTTTAGAGGCCAGGTCTGAAAAAGGTGTGGAAAATGACATTTTTCTTCACTGAAATAGGGTCAAGATTAAGAGAACCAGGCAGAACACCNGGGTATAGATTTTGCCCATTTTGGTCTAGAAACGGGTATGATTTACGAGGGAACTACGATTGTGTATCAATGTGTTTGTCGTTTCAATTCCAAATGAATAAGAAAGAAATTGCAACATGCAAATTCGAAAATAATGGATGAATTTTAAGAAATCTTTTTGTTGCTATGATGGCACAATTTCTGTTTTATGTAAACAAGTAATGTTGTGTTTTGTGACCACCTCCAGGTCTGAAAGCGGGTATGGATTTTAGAGGCCAGGTCTGAAAAAGGTGTGGAAAATGACATTTTTCTTCACTGAAATAGGGTCAAGATTAAGAGAACCAGGCAGAACACCCCCACTAAGAATTCCCAGGAGTACCCCCCAGGGTCTGACTGTACTTTGCTTAACCCATTTAATCAAGGAAATTTTGCTAATCAGGCCATTTTCTGGATGTTGTTTGCCTAAAACAAACCAAAACTGCCCAAAATGTTGCCTACTAGCCAAGAACTTTGTGGCCTAATTCTGTTCTTGATACTAACTTGTAAAGTGTCACTGTCCACACCATATTGTTATAATATCAATGAAAATAGGCTGTTTAAGGAGTTTTCATAACTTTATTATACTGAAGTATCAGAGACATCCAAGACATCTGGAAGTAATGTAACACATTTTATTATACATTGTACTCACTATATGTCTTGTCACTGGCTAAGAACCTACAGCTAATTTTGGAAATCAGTGTAACCTACAGATTAGTTAGTTATCTGCTAGCAGATAGCAGACTAATCGGTAGGTTAAGCGTGTGCAATGCATGATTTCCTATAACAATATCAATTCAGGTTTCATGTGATGGTGTGTTTTGTTGTTATTTTCTTTAAAACAATGTATAATAAAACAATAATTGTTTTTAGATTCGGTTTTTGTGATACCCTAAATAATCAAGGTCTCGGTAAGTGTTATCAACAACGGCCTTCAGCTCGGCTTATAACACTTACCTCAACCTTGATTATTCTGGATATCACAAAAACCTCATCCAATAATAAAAAAATTATTGTTTAGTATATAATAACAAAATCCTTGCTATACATAATCTATATTTTGTACATTTTCACGAACAACTTGGATCTTCACGTTGAGAGAACTCATTATGGATATCCCATGAGAAACCAAAGAGGTGACAAAATTTTGACTAAAAAATATTCATTAAAGTGACTATGGTTCCACCTCTCTGGATAATACGGCTTTTTTTTCTAATAAATAAGTTTGTGATGAGCAACAGTTTTTCATAATATTTAACACTTGTCTCTAAGAGATTCAATTTTACTTGATGTTTCATCAGTCTTGTCAAGCAAAACCTGCCAAAAAGGAAGACTGGCTGTTACGAAATATTACCACAAAAAGTTTTTGTGATCTAAGGGGGTGCCTAAATGACACCAGGGGAAATTTTGTAATGCTGTGGGTTCATTCTGGTTCCCAGCACCACCATAAAACGTAATGCTAGAAAAAGTCATTCTGGCTTGAGTTCTTCTCAGTTTTTGTACTGGAGCAAAAAAATCATTGTGGTGCAGAACTTTGCAGCATTACCATAAAGTTCCAAAAGTAATGACCTCTCAACAGTAGTGAACCTCCAAAAGTAGCGATAAAATGTCACAGGTGTTAGCAAATCCCAAAAGTAGTGATCCCCCCGAAAATAACGACCCTCTGAAAGTAGAGACATCAAAACTAATTTCCTGTTTTGCAAAAAAAAAAAAAAAGGATATGATAGATACCCTGAACAAATTAAATGCCATACTGATCCGAAGTTTATTAATGATGATTATTTGACATTCCTATTCATAACCCTCAAAGAACAGGATATACATTACCTTTTTTCAGAAAGTATTCCTTTCACAATTTTTGTGATTTTATTTTTTGAAGTGCCAATATGGAGTACACATTTTTAGCCTCCAAAAGTAGCGACCCCCAAAAGTAGTGAGCTTCCAAAAGTGGCAATAGCAGAAGGGTGCTAAATCCAAAAGCGATGAGGATCGTTACTTTCGAAACTTCACCGTATAAAGTAAACAAAGAACTGACAGATTGGAATTGGAAGTGCACAACACCGTATAACTATCGTTAATCCAAGATGGTGTCAGGTGTGATGAGGGTAGTTTGGTGTTGGGGTAGGGCAATTGTGCACTGTGGGGCATCCCTGGGTACCTGGGGGTAGTCAGTTGGGTCATGAAAAATGCACTACAAATCCAACCACACAATGTCTCCTCTGGGTCTCCAAGCATCAATGAGAGGACCATATAGTTTTATTCCTTACCTGAATTCTCTGTATCAAAGATTTCTTTTTCCCCTTGGCTTGTCGTAAACTGGCATCTATGATCTGAATGATATTAAAAAAAAAACAAAACATGATTTGTAGTTCCGGGAAAATCTTTAAACTCCCCCAACAGAGGGAATTGGAAATTCCTGGTGAAGGCCGGGGCTCTTAAAGACCAAAACATTAAAAGGATTGTGTAAAACTACATTGGAAATTGCTAGGGTGCTTAAATAGAAATAAAACGCAGTCTTTGGTGTGAACAGAAAATAAGTCTTCAACTTACTAATGCATCTAAGCTCTCAAGGGTTTTCATGAATTCCTCATTGATTCCCTTAAGCTTCCTAGACAGCTTCTCTAGAGCCTTAGGTATCAATTCTGCCTGAAGATATCCCTGTAAAAATTATAGAAAAAAAGTTCTGTTCAGTGAATAATACACTTGTAATGGGACCAGCACGCAAAGAAAGTAGTATCCAATAGCCCAGGGCTAGTGGATTTTGCAACAGGCAAGTGAATTTTGTTCTTAAGTTGCCTGACAGGTTTTGGAGGAATTCAAATTACAGAAGAAATGTGAAATCAATTCTGCTCATCAAAATGTTTTGGGGCTATAGTTGAAATCACATTTGTGCTAGTATATGCTAGCTTCAGCTTGCCTGAATGGCAAGCTTTAAAAATGAATTTCTTTGCACCCTGGCGACATTTCTTTCCACCAAGTTTCTTAGTACATATGATGTTGTTGGAAGTTGTTTTTCCAACTCCGTTTATATTTTAAAAATCCCTCTGTTACATTGTCATATTAGGTAAAGTCAATAGCAAAATTACTGTTACCTTTTCAATGCCGCTGACTTCTTCTTGGTGTTCAGTCAGCCTTTTCTCAATATTGTCTGCCATTTTTTCTGTAGCAAGTATTTTTTTCATATTCTCTTCCTCTAATGGATCAAACTAAAAAGCAGGAGTATTAAATGAACATTGAATTAAGAAATACATTTGTGAGCAAAATACAAGAAAATTGTGTTTGTGCCTCACTAACCTTTTTTCCGATCAGCATAACTTTACTACCCTTCTTTATACCAAATGTCATAAGTGGCTTTGCAAACTCTGTTAGAGACTGTCCTAAAAATATAGAAGATGCTTTCTCTTATTTTTAATGTTCATTTTCAACTGCTACCATAAAATAGGTGTGACTTAGCAAGGACTAAGCAAAAGGGTTGCAAAAAGGCTGGCAGACATTGTTGAACTAATTTATTGTCAACAAACGGCTCACTAACGTCATTAGTCAGTCCACTTAAAGCAGCTGTGTCACGAAATTCAGCCAAATTAGGAAATTACAGAATGCCTGTTAAATTGAGAGAAACAAAAAAATAATCGCTTAAAGCTTCAAAGGAAGGTTAAAAATAAAATAACAGAAAAAACAGATGCCACGGTTGGACAAAACTGAAGAAGATTGAAACAGATTGAAATTAGGGTTTTTGAAAACTGTTCAGCCTAACAGTTTTTCAAACTTGATCCCTGCCGCTTGCAACTTCAAAAATAATGATCAGGAGACATATTTGTTCGTCTCTGATCTCTGATTTTGTCATTTACTTGTAATTCCTTTGCTTACGTTAAGTTCCCAAGCAATTAAGGGCAAGTAATTGGCAAAATTCAACAAAATGAACTGGACCGCCATGACACAGCCCCTTTAAGTGTTAGGTCAGTTCCCAGAACAACTTCAGAATGCCACACAACTAGTCACAATGCTTTAAAGAACGAGGTAAAGATAGCGGGCACTTTTTTATTCAACGAGATGAAAATAATTGGCAAGTGATTCTGTTTTACTCCTAGTTCCCTAACTTCTTCTTCCTAAACAACGGCTTAGAGGACAAGGTATATACAAATGTGTGGGATGTATTTGTGTCATGGCTAAAAAAATTAGCTACAGAGGTTGTGGTTCAATTTTATCCTTGGTTTGAATTGTATTTTCTTTTGGTTTTGGGTATGGTAACGTATGATAATGAGTTTCAAACAAAAGAAACCAAAAGTTAAACCAAGGATCAACTTCAACCACAACATATACATGTCTGGGAAACACATATCCCTAGTGAAACACATATTCCTAGTGATATGTGTTCCCCACCTGAGAAAACAATATCCCTA